GACTGCCTGCTTGCAAGGCAGGCGCTTATGCCACTGAGCTAAATCCCCAGCCTGCATGTATGTTTAAGTGCATAGGATTGACAACCATGTTACTAAGTTTTTGTTGGACAGTTGAACAGAACTGTTTGTGGTCTTGCTATTTGAATTCCCACTTTACATATTCCATTTTTGTATCTTGAACAACTATTTGTAAAATGACAATATGTAAACATCAACTAGTGATTTCTTACTGTTTATTTTTTTCTCTGAATGTATGTATTATTTCTACCTATTTTCTGTTTTTAGTCTTTCTTTAAATAAAATTTTAAAAAAATAGGACTCTATTAGCTCAGAAAATAATATCAAGAACCAACAGTATCTCATCTTAATTTGATGGTTCTGCACAGCAAAGAAAAAGTGAAGAGACAGCCCTCATAATGGGAGAAAAACTGTCAGCTACTCTTCCAACAGAAGAATAAGATCCACAGTATATAAAGAACTAAAGAAAAAACAACCCCAGAAGAATACTAGTGCAATAAAAAAAAATGAGCAGATTAGCTGAGCATGGTGGCACATATGTATATTCCCAGCACTTGGGAAGCTGCGGCAGGAAGACCACTGGGATTTCAAGGCCAACCTGAATTACTTATTGAAACTGTCTCAAAATAATACCAAGATGAATTAAAACATTTCTCAAAAGTAGTAAATGTGGACAATTACAAGAAAAGATGCTCATTTTTAGCTGTGAAATGCAAATATAAACTATTGAAATTTCATCTCATCCAAGTCCTGAGTAGCCATTAGTAAGAAAATAAACAGTAAATACTGATGGAGATACAGGATAAGGAATCCCTTGTACACTGTTGGCTAGAGTGTGAACTAGTACAGCCACTGTAGAAATCAATATGGAGTTTCCTAAAAAACTAAACGTGGAACTACCACGTAATCCCGGGGTACCACTCCTTGGTATAGAGCTGCAGGAACTGAAGTCAGCATGCTGGAGAGGCACCTGCATACCTATGTTTATTAAGACACAGTTCACAGTAGCCAAAATACAGAATCAGCCCAATTGCCTGTCAGCGGATGAATGAAAAAAGTAAATGTGGTATACATATACACAATGGAATAATCATAAAGAATAAAATCAGATGGATGTGCTGCATTCCTGTAATCCTATTTAGAAGGCTGAGGCAAGAGTATCACAAGTTCAAGGCCAGTGTGAGCTACAGAGTAAGACTCTGTCTCAGAAATTTTTTTCATTTTAAAAATCATTTGGGGGCTGGGGATTTAGCTCAGCAGCATAAGCGCCTGCCTTGCAAGCAGGCAGTCGTGAATTCGATCCCCGCTACCGATAAAAAGGAAAAAGACCAAAAAAAAATTTTTTTAAAAAAGTCATTTGGGGGGCTGGGGATTTAGCTCAGCGGCATAAGCACCTGCCTTGCAAGCAGGCAGTCGTGAGTTCGATCCCTGGTACCGATAAAAACGAAAAAGACAAAAAAAAAAAAAAAAAAAAAAAAGTCATTTGAAGGAAAATAGGTGGCCGTAGAGATCATTTAAGCAAAATATGCCAAACTCAGGCAAGTGTTACATGTCTTCTCTAATAGGTGGAATCTAGGGGGAAAAAAGATGACATGAACATAGAAGGAAGTATACTGGACAGGGGGAGAGGGCTGGGAAGGGAGGGAGATTGAACCAAAGTTTTGGGGGTGAATATTTTATGCATGTATGAAAATGCCACAGTGAAACAGTATTTTACAAAATCGATAGGCATATTTATGAAAAAAGATGAAAGTCCCGTGAGGTGATCAGTGACCTCAATACAATTGTGGTGAGGCAATGAGGGGTCGTCCTTAGGCAGCAAAGTAGCCGAGTTTGGAGCAACTGTTTCCACAAATAGTGTCTGATAATGTATGGCTCAGGTATTAGACATCCATTGGTCTGGCGGGGCCTGATGAGAGTCTCCAGTGAATAGGAGGAAACAAGAGTTTGTGTCCAAAAGTCAATTTTTAAGCCTCCTTTATGAGGGGGCCACCGAGGAAATCACCGCAGACAGGGTGGCCATCTGGCTGCCACAGAATCAAGTCTCTTGGAAAGATAGGCAACAGGCCTCTGCCAGGGTCCCAAACTCTGGATCAGTCCTATGGATCCTAGAAATTTTGCACTTGCCTTTTAGTCATAGGGACTGGAATCTGTTGGATGGCTCGCAACAACCAGTGCAGTCTTTTTTTGTGTAGACTGGTTCTGACAAGGTCAGAGGGACTAGCATCAGAGCAGTTACTTTCTTGGCTGGCCCTTCTGATGTGATTGCTACTCTTTGAGCGGCCTGATCGGCCAAATTGTTCTCTCGGGTGAATAGCAGCAATCTGCTGAGACAGCCAGACTGCTGCCAGCAAGTCTAGGATGTGTGCAGCATTTTTTTTATCTTAGTCCCGGCTGAGATTAAGAGACCTAATAGATGGCTATCTATCCTAATAGATGGCTCTATGTATATGTATAGTAGCAAAAGCATATCTACTATCAGTATAGATGTTTACTGTCTTTCCCGTGGCTAGTTTTAGCACCTCAGTCAAAGCAATGAGCTCCGCCTTTTGGGCAGAGATGCCAGGCTCTAACCGCTTAACACAGAGTACCTCCTTTTCGGTGGTCACTGCTGCCCCGGCCACTCATCTGCCTCTGCTGTTCTGGATGAAGCTGCTTCCATCTGTGAAATTCCTCTGGTCATTGTCAGGCATAAGGGTGGCTGGGTTTAAAGCTGAAGAAGTCTTGAAAACTACTGACTCTGGATCTAGGAGCAGGGCCTAACAGTGTGAGATTCTAGTGTTTGAAAGCCATTTTTCGGGAGGGGTTTTGATAAGAGTCTCTAAACTGTGGGAGGTCACTACAGAAATCTTCTATCCAAAAGTGAGTTTCTTAGCTTCTTTTAGTAGCATTGCCACAGCGGCCGGAATTTTTAGGCATGGAGGCCACCCTCCTGTTACTGGATCAAGCCTTTTGGAAAGATAGGCTATAGGCCTCTTCCAAAGGCCAATGTCCTGGATTAGGACTCCTTTGGCAATGCCCCTGAGTTTATCTATGAACAAGGTGAATGGCTTGGTAACATCAGGGAGTCCCAGGGCTGGGGCCTCTGTCAAGGCCCACTGGAGCTGCTGCAAGTTCCGTTCACATTTCTCAGTCCAGTTCAGTGAGTTTTTCCCTTAAGGGAGTCATATAGGGGGTGAGCTGTTTCAATAAAATTTAGAATCCACAGCCTGGAGTATCTGACAGCTCCCAGAAATTCGCTCACCTGTTTCTTAGTTTCTGGGGATGGGATCTGCAATATAGCCTGGACTCTTTCTTTGGACAAAGTCCTCCTTTTTTTTTCCTGCAATTTGTAGCCCAGATAAGTCATAGCCTGATGGCACAATCGGGCCTTTTTAGCCGAGACTTTATAGCCCAATCACCCCAAAGTACTTAACAGTTCCTCAGTTGCCTCTCGACAAGCTTACAAGCTTCTGGGAGGGGTCGAGGCTATTAACAAGTCATCCACGAACTGGAGGAGCACTATCTCAGGGTGTTCTTCCCTAAATTCCAAAAGATCTCTTGCTAATGCCTCATCAAAAAGAGTGAGAGAGTTCTTGTAACCCTGAGGTAAACGTGTCCAGGTCAGTTGTTCTTTTACCCCTGTATCTGGGTCAGTCCTTTCGAAGGCAAAAAGGGGTTGACTCACCAGAGTAAGAAGCAAAGTGAAGAAAGCATCTTTCAGGTCCAGAACAGAGTACCAGGTGTTCTCAGGATTTGGCACTGTTGAGTATAGACTCAGAATTCGTCTATTAACCTCTCTGCGATCCTGTACAGGGTGATAGTTATTTTTCCCTGGCTTCTGGACTGGAAGCAAGGGCATGTTCCAGGGAGAGACACAAGGAATGAGAATATCATTGTCTCTTAGCCTCAGAATGTGGACTTTAATCCCTTTCCAGGACTGCAGGCTTATCGGGCATTGCCACAAGCAGATGGGGCGTGCTTGGGGTAAGAGTTCCACCACAAGGGGAACCTGGTTAATTGCTAGCCATGGAGGAATGTCTTCTGCCCAGAATTTTGGAATCTCCTGTTTTTATTTACTTAACACTTTTAACTTTAAGTCAGTTTGTGACGACTCAGGTACACTGGACAAATTTCCCAGTAGACAGTAATTTTTCCTGTTTTAAAAGACCTTTTGTGCTATCTCTATTAACTGGCTGAGGGGCATTTTCTCAAAACTCTCAACCTTTGTAATTTTTGGTAACATGTGGGGCCGACTGAGTTGCAAAGAGAACAACTGGTGATACTAGGGAAACCTCTGGATGTCTGATTGGGGTGGGACAAAAGGAAAACATGGTTTTGGCATCCCAGATCAGAGAGCAGGCTTCATCTGGATGGCACACCACCTTTTGTCCCAGGGTGCCACGTGGCAGGCCATCATTTTACTGAAATTACATACTTAACGAAAAGAGGCTTTTTCATAGGTAACAAAATTATGCTGTATAATCTCCCAGATGTTCACAGCACATGCAAGAACTTGTATCTTATCTCTATTATCACCTATAATCTCATATTAATGGAAACACTTTGCAGCAAAGGTTTACCAATCTTATAAATAAATCTTTCAAAACTGATCTAATACTGTCAAATGTTGAACAGATTTACTTCTTGTCAAACCTGCTATTTGTAGTACTATAAGCCAAGACAAATAAAATTTACATCATCTTGTGCTTTTTATAACTTACAATATACCCCCAAGTTTTATCTTCTTTCACATTCTGGCACAGCCAGACATTTTTACTTGAAGACAAGCCACTTTCTTTGTCCCTCCTTTTTACTATTACAAGTCAATTACCTTTTCTCTCGCTTCTCAGACAACATTAAAACTCTCAACAAAACTCTTGAAGTCACCTTACTTTCAAATGTTCAGAAATGAGTCTGGGGTCTTGCTCCCATCCAGGGCAAGCCCCCAAATGTAATAACTTGGACCCCGGTATAAAATCCAAGGAAGCAAAAGACTGAAATTTGTGAAGCAAAGGCTTTATTTTCAGGCCTGGTGACGAGTCTCCGGGAGCCAATTTGGAGACTGCATGCTAGAGACTGAAGCGAGGACTTTAAAAAGAGGCTGGAGGAAAAGGGCGGGGGGGGGGACACAAAGAAACCTGCAGAGCCATCAAACTTGTTGACCCCAATCTGGAAACTGTATAGCTGTCCACTTAGTTCTGACAACCTGGGGAGCCTCTGGTACCTTCTGAGTTACTCCCATCTTGCAGATAAGAATTATCTACAATAACATTTGGAGAAGAATGTAGAAAGCTAATTATCTCAGGAGAGCCCGTTAACACTAACAGGTGGGAAGGGGTCCAAAGTTACAAGAAGCTGAAACTTAAGCCTTCACAAGGATTTGGAACTTAACCCTTTTGGTGCATTAGGGTTAAGCCACAACATTTTCCTGTAATTTCCTTGAAGCTAAGGCACATTTTATGACAGACCACCACCAGGTCAGGAAGAGGTCACCAGAAACCCAAGATCTTTATGGCCTAGCCTAGATAGATAGGTAAGGGGAGAGGGAGGCAATAAGGCGCCATACAGAACAGAAAACAGTGGTTATGTTTTTCTTTCTTTCTGGGAGGGGGACCAAGGTCAGGTAAAGGGTTATACTAATAAGCAAATCTCCCTGCACACAAGCAAGTTACTTTAAACAAGTGTAAATTAGAGGGCCATCCTAGTTTTCTTTAGCTCTTTAGTGGAGAATAGAGGCGCCTAACAGTGATTTACAACCCTTGTTAGCTTGTTTTAGCACAACTGCTGTAGTTTGTAGAGGGCAACAATGGTTAACATATCAATTAGGTAAGGTTTACAATTCTTTACAGAGAAGAGCATTGATAACATATCAATTAGGTCATCCAAAGACATAAGAAGGAAACCACATACAGTAAGCCCCTGTTACAGGTTTTGTTATAATATACATAAAATGAAGCTATTTTCTTAGAGTACAACAGAAACCACCTCAGCTTTTACTGAGTTTTCCAAAGCCTGTGGCTCCTGCCAACTGTAGGACGTCTCTCTGCCAGGTGAGTTTGGGGTCAGAGTCGAAAGCTAGGTTACTTCCTGCATGGCCCTTCTGAGCAGATGCTTGTGGGAGACAACTCCAGCGTCTCCCTTTGAATCCAAAACAATTACTGTGACTTTGAATATTTGGAGGCTCATTTCCTTATACTGATATGTAAAAAGGTGGCTAGGGTATTTCCTTTTCTTCAGTTAACTCTGAGCATGGCAAACAAGGCTAGCCCAGGTGCTAATGTATAGCCATCACAGATGTGAGAGACAACTCCAGTGACTCCCTTTGGATCCAAAACAGTTGCTGTGACTTTGACTACTTGGGGACTCATTTCCTTATACTGATATGTGAAAGGCTGGCTAGGATGTTTCCTTCTCTCTTCAGTTGGCTCTAAGCATTGCAAATAAGGCTGGCTGAGGTGTTAATATGCAAAGTCTGCCCATCAGACAGCCCTGTTTCCTCACATGGTGTTCTCTACATTACAAGATTGAGCTGGCAAGACACAGAGTAGATAGTCTGGGAAGGAGCCTCAAGATAAGAGGCTATGACTCCCCAGGGCACAAGAGTTTGCATATCAAAAACCTAAGCAATAGCCCCCCAAAACAATTCCCCTGCTACACTAATCAGGTTATGTAAATTGATCCTTCTGCATATCTTTATCTCTGCAAATTACAGAGATGCCTTCCTTGTACCTGGCCAGCCAGCTCAAGTTACTCAGCAATCCCCAACATCCTGACTATCACTCATCCCTGAGCGACACCCCCCCCCCCGTCTTTTCTTCACAAGATAATAAATGCTGGGAGAGGCCTAGGATCAAGGCCTTTGTCCACCTGTCCTCATGGGAAATGGACTTGGGTCCCTTTGGCTGCCCTCAACTTGGAATATGTCTTGGTATTTTTACTCTTGCCGTGGGTTGCATTGGTGGTGGTAGATTGGAATTGATCAGCTGGAATTCTAATAACATCTCAATGGAATTACAAATATAACTTTTTGGATTTAGAGGAAAACTAGAAAGAGGATTACAATACTTGGATGACTGAACTCAATTTTTGGGTTTACAATAGATGCTCACCAAGCGTTTGAAGTGTTGGTGGCTAGAGTGCCACACTTCTGTCTGTCTTGCTTGGGCTGTGTTCAGCTCTGCTAATAATATCCTTTCCTTCTAAGCAAGGGGGCAGTAACCCGCCATTCAAAGTCCCATTTATCTTTCTGTTGACCGCATACCTCGGGTTCCAGGAATGGAGCGCGGGGCCTGGGGCTACTCAGGAGACAGCTGGAACTTCCCTACAATGACCAGGATACAGGAGAGCAGTCCAGCACGTCCAGGGCTTCCCGACTACTCAGGTTATGGAGCAAGAAAGCTTTTCAGACAAAAACTATCCATGTCCAGCACCTGAGAATACATACTGGAGAAACTGTATGAGTGCAACAAGTGTGGGGAAGCCTTTTGTCAGGCCCCGTCCCTCTCTAGACACCAGTGCGTCCACACTGGCGAGAAAGCATTTGAATGCTTGGAACATGGCAGTGCATGTGAGCAGAGCATATGCCTGGCTCGGTATGAGAGAAGTCACTGTGAAGACAGACCTTACCCACCCTGAGCAGGACAGCCTTCAGTCAAAGAGCACGTCTCACAGCACCAGAGTAGGCATGCAGGAGAGAAGCCCCAATGCCTGTGCTGAGTGTGACCTTCACTCAGAACTCCTCCCCTGCTGAGCATGAAAGAACTCACACTGCAGAGAAGCAGTGTAAGTGTCGAATGTGTGAGATGGCTTTCCTCTAGCAGGCACACCTAAGTGAGCATTACAGGGTTCACACTGGATAGAAGCTCCACGAATATGTCGTGCGGGAAACCCTTGAGGCACAGCTCAGTGCTTGTTTGACACGGGGGACTTCAGGGTGGAAAATAAAACTTGGAGTGCACAGTAGGTAGAAAGATTTATGTGGAAATGATTTTTTTTCTAAGTTCTTGGGAGTTTAAGACTTAGGCTGCATCAATATTCTAGACTTTGAAGATGAGGTATTGTGTCCTAAACATTAAGGGAAAAAAAAGCTAGGAATGGTGACACACACTTGTAACCTACCAAAGCAGGACAGTTGCCTTGAGTTCAGAGCCAGCCTCGGCTGTATAAGTGAGTTCAAGGCCAGCCTAAATGAATGAGTTTATGAATGAATACATAAATAGGGTTGAGGATGTAGCTCAGTGTGAAGGCTCTGGGTTCAATTCTCAGTACTCCATCACACACATTAAGATACATACTAATATATCATTGGAACATATTTAGATAATGCACAAGTATAATGAAAAAAGTCACTTTTATAGCTATTATTATCCAGTGTTATCCAAACAAATTCATTTCCTTTCTCTAAGATTACCAAGTTTGGAGTATATCATTTCTGTCGTTTTTCAAAAGCACTAGGCTTTTCTCTACAACTTGCTCTTTTATTTTGTCCCTTTTGTTGTTGTCCTGGAGGTCATTTTGCATTAGTGTACTGGGATCTATTAGGGCTGCGGGCTGGCTGGTACACCCTGCTTATGTGCAGAAATTGTTTCCAGCCAGAAACTGATAATACTGAGCAGTGCCAGTACCGAAGCTCCTGCCTACACCTTTCTCCCCATCTTCACCTCCCAGTGTGGATATGTTATATACAAAATAAACCTCAGCTCATTTAATCAGCTAAATGGAAAAGTTACACTCACTTTGTAACCCAGGCTAGTCTTGAACTCATAGCCATCCTGCCCCAGCCTCTCCAGTGCTGGGCAAGGTCTCCCCAGCTGGGACCCCCTGTAAAGGCCGAGTCCCTGGCGAGACTTAGGCCTTCTAAAGTCTTGTTTCCTGGAGAATTAAAAGGCGGGTAGATTTTACGCTTGTTTTCAGGTGACCACTGGATTTTTTTTTTTTTTTTTTTTTTGAGCTCTCTTTTACAGCTCCTCTGAAAGTCCGGTTTCCTGGCACATCGGTGTGTTTTTAGGGCCCTTAACATCTCCAGGATTTTTCTTATTAAATCGGCTTTACTTTTAGAAAAAAAAAATTGAAACAGTGTCTCAAAGTCCATAAGATTTCCTGGCTAGGCTGGAACTCCACGGTCCTCCTGCCTCCGCCTCCCTACGCCTGTCTCTGCATATTGAGCATCTAACTTGTTGCTGTTAGAGAAGAAATACCTAACGAAGGCGTAATTCTCACATATTCAGCCCGCACAGCCCCTTAGAGTGGCAAAGCAAACAGCAGTATACACTAATGGGGAAAAATAAAAGCAAAGCCAAAGCAGTGGCTCGGGCGGGCTCGCTCAAGGAGGCACTTCGCCCTGGTGTCCCAGACCCAGCCCTGGGCTCGCACAGGCCTCCCCTGGCCCCGGCCCGGCCTCCGTGCCACGAGTCAGAGCAGGGACGGCAACCACGGGCCCAGGGAAGGGGACGGATCAGGACTGACGACAGCTCAAAAACCAGAGGCCGCAAGCCATGGAAGTCTACCTCTCGCTCCCGCGTACACGCGAAACTCCAGAGATGCAGCAGAGGACACTCAAATGCGTCCCTTCTGCTTGATGTCACCATTCCCGCGGTAGTCTCACGTCAGTAGTCTTCCTCTCTAGGCAGGTGGGCGGTCTCGCCTCGGTGCCTCTGCGCCAAATCTGAGCTGTACAAGCTGCTTTGTTTCCCATCTCAACCAGTTGGCACTGGGAAGCCGAAAGGGTGGGAGCATAGGCATTGACCCCAACGACCTCCTATTGTGTCATTTCACCTTACCGCCACCGCTCAGTCACACATGTCGCCTGCTAGCGAGCGGCCACTTCGCCGGAACCTCCAGCTTGGGACCTCTACACAGGCTGCCAGCAGGACGGAGTCTTGCCGTGGGCTTCAACCCAGATTGCCAGCGGCTGATCTCGAGGGATCACGTTCCCTGTCTCCTTCGTCAGTGATAAAACAGCGGTGCCAGATGTCGTGGGCTTGAGGAATAAATGGTACAGTAAATTCCTGTAAATGACCCCTGCATCTTCCCCTGCCTCCTGCACGGTCTCTTCGGCTCAACCTGGCTGCAGTGCTTGCCCTGCCTGCGCGGGGGCGCGCCGCTCTCTTCTGCAAAGCACTTGGATGCACACGCAAACCCCGGCTCCCTGCGTTCAGGTACAGGCTGGAGCTGGCACCTGGCTCGCTCCCGGTGCTCCATGCCTCCGTCGTCAGCACCAGGGCTAACACTTTCTGAGTAAATGAAAAGCAGCAGAGAAGATACGCTCAGATTTCCCGACGGGCTCTTTTCCCTCAACAGGAAGAGAACATAACAGTGTTTAAGTGCAGCTGGCAGGACACCGGGAACCACCTTCAACTGGAAGACACTTTGTAGAATGAGTGACATGCCACATGGCAACGTTATTTTACCTGCATTAAATTTTAGCAGTGTTGCACTCTCGGTACTTCTTTGGCAGCAGGAATTCTTGCCTGCAGTCCTAATACTCCACAGGCCAGAGAATCTACATCTGAACTTGTTATCTTCCCTTTGGGGGTCAACGCATTTCCGAATCACAGCGCCTCTGCCTGGAGTGAGGCACCCCCCCGCAAGAGTGCTTCACTAGGAACAGTATCTGGCTTTAAGGCGTTTTAGGCTGAGCTTGTTTCAGTGAGGAAGGCTGAGGCCTGCAGGGAGACACCCAAAAAACTCCACATTACTATGTGGTCCACGAGGGAAGTCAAGCTGGTGCTACTTAGGGTGGAGGCGAAGACTCTACCTTTGAACAAAGTTAAGAGGTCAAATGCAAACCAGGTCCTCACCCTCACACCCAGAACAGTCAGAGATTCTCAGGGTAAAACTGTGTCTTACAAAGTGAGTGCCTCCAACCCTCCTTTAGAAGGACAGAGTCCTAGGCGGCATTTCTGTAATGGATACAGAGGTAGAGAACAGAGATAGGTATGGCCTATGTAAAGACCCCGTTTTCTCTTTTGTTGACCTGAGGATATGATGTCACCCCCATCCCAGTGTATTTTGAAAGTCATTCAATTTTATAGCATTAAGAATTAGCAAGTCAGCTGGGAGTGGCACGACTGCAATCCCAGCAATCTGAGGCTGAAGCAGGATGATTTCTGAGAGTTCAAGGCCAGCTTGTGCTATATATTGAGTTCAAGATCTTACTGAACTACAGAACAAGACCTTGTCTCAAAAAGGGGGTGGGGGGCAGACAATCTAGTTCTTTATCAGAGGCCAAGAGACCATAAGCTCCACAAGTGTTTTCAATATGGGCTTTCTCAGCATGCTCTCTGTGAGGTCGGGATTATTGTTCAGCTGTTTTCTTTCAGTGGTATAGGGGATTAAACCCAGGGCCATGTGAATGCCACACACTCTAACACTGAGCCATAACCACAGCCCTTATTTGGAGACAGGATTTCAGGAAAACGGCCTGGCCTCCAACTTTCAGTGGTCCTGCTTCAGCCTCCTGAGCCACTGGGACTGCAGGAGCGCGTCACCTGATTAGCTCCTCTTTCCCGGAGTTCACAGTTGACACAGAGGTGTTAAGTCACACATTTTCTTTTTGCTCATGATGAGACTCTAAATTTATAATAAACTCCTTCGCTTATAACTACTACTTTTTCTTACAGAATTCTCTGCTTAACACAACCACATACTCTTAATTAAGTCTTGGAGAATAGTTTAGTGTTTGTTGCTAGCAAATACTTCAGACACAATCGCCGTACCAATTTACAGGCTGGCAGGGGGGCAATACAATTCTGCGTTTTAGTTGAGTTCCACAAATATTTATTGAAAATCTTCTAAGTGCCAGGCACTGTGGATGCAAAGATGAGTGTCCCATTCCTCCTGCCCAGTACAGGTGACAGACACTATGGGAAAAGAAAGAATCACAACACAAAGTGATGAAAATAGCATGCACAGGTGGGCATGGTAATAGATGCCTATTAATCCCAGGATCTGGGAGGATGTGCCAACATGAAACCCAACCTGGCAACTTAGCATGGTTGTCTCGAAAAAAAAGGGGGTGGGTATGGGGATGTAGCTCAGTGCCAAGGTCCTGGGTTCAATCCCAAATACTGCAACCACAACACACACACACACAAAGTCAGAATAAAAACATTGAGGTTAGACACAGCTTTAAATGTATATATTCCCAAAGTTTGTGACACTCTTATAATTCCAGAATTTGAGAGGCTGCGGCAAGAGGACTGCTGCTAATTCAAGGCCAGCTTGCGCTACAAAGCAAGATCCTATCTCAAACTTAAAAAAGGCAGTGTTAGTTGTGCACATCCAGAAGTGACACCTGCAAGTTGTCCGGGCAAATGAAGAAAAATGTACCATAGGAACAGTACGTGTAGAAATAGCAGAGTCAGAGAGTAACTAGAAACACTAGAGAATTACAAGAATATGCATTCTGAAACTGAATATACCAGACACGACTGGCAGCTGAGGTGATGTATGGTGGCATGGGTGAGAAAAGGTGCTCTGGGGTCACTGTAGAGGGGCAGGACTTTATTCTAAGGTAAAATGAAGAAGCTTCCAGGTTTGCTTAAGAAGATCATCCATAAGAAATGGGAAAGCTTAGTGCAACAAGAACTTCTGACTTAGAAAAATCATGTAGGAAGTAAATCAGGGAGTTGGCCTAAAGCAATAGGAGCTGGGTAAAGCGGTCACCTGCAACCCCAGCACTGGGCAGTCTGAGGCAGGAGAACCCTGCAAGTCCAAGGCCAGCCTGCATGGAAGAACATAAGTAAATAGTGAGCAACAGGAAGGAAGAGGGCTTCCAGGTGTGTGACATGCTGTGGTACGATGGGCACAGACTGAGCGCGCGCTAAGGCTGCAGGACAAAGCACTTCCTAGGCAAAGGGCCACAGCGGGACAGCTGGGCACTCACAGCCAGCAGTGGCAGGAAAATCAGGAGCAGCTGTGTGGCAGGTGTGCCTGTGGGGTGACGGTACAGAAACCTGACACTTCTCTTCCTCGTTTGATCACGAAGTAAAAATGTGCCAGACTTTTTCAGGATTAAAATACTCAGCATCCTGCTCATTTCAATTTAGATTAGCGTTTTCACAGTAACTCCTGGGTATCTCTTACCTGTAAGTTTTTCCTATTTCTCATGGAAATTCCATTTTCTCTCTTCTCCACAGAAGATTTCAAAGATAGCAGTGTGTAAGTATAGACTAAATATGTACCCATCATAAAGTTCTTTAGTTTTAGTAGACAAAGATAGATTGAAAGTATGTTAATTCACCAAATATTCATTGACCATTTACTTTGTGCCAGCAGTTAATTCTGTAGTGATATTTTCATTTGAGAATAAATTCATTGCCACTTTATTTTTGGTATATTTTCATGAACATAAACACTTAGGAAGATTTCTGAGGATCATTTCTGTCAATAAGGTATTATTTCCTCAGTTATGAAGTCCTCTGTAGTAGGGATAGAGAACACCATCGTAATGCTGGAGATGGGAAAATAAATCCATATTCCTATTAGTGATCGTGAATGGCCTGAATCATTGCTTAGAGCACAGATATGCTGGGAAGCCAAATGCTGGCTTCCAAACAACCAAGTGTTCCAGCACCAACTCACTGTACTTCTTTTGTTTGTTTGTTTGTTTGTTTGTTTGGTACTGAGGCTGGAACTCACTACCTTGTGCTTACCAGGCAGGTGCTTACTCCATGAGCTTAATCCTTGGCCCTGTAGTTCATTTTATACATTATTTTTTGTCTTTTTCTTTTTTATTGGTACCGGGGGGATTGAACTCACAACTGCCTGCTTGCAAGGCAGGCACTTATGCCGCTGAGCTAAATCCCCAGCCCCTCTGTAGTTCTTTTTAGTAGTCATATTTCTAAATTATAAAAGCTGAAGCTTTGCATAGAAAGTATCATAAATTCAGTGATACTTCAGGTTAACAAAACTTTTATTTGTAAACAATTTGGTCCACAAACAGAAGTGTCTGGCAAAATTTTGTTTTTGGTTGCAACTTTGAAAAGGTGACAAACATGAGTGTGTCCACCACTCCCACACAAATACGAATGTGGCCATTATCGCCAAAGCTGTATGTCAAATTACATTCCTGAACAGAGATACTGGTCAAAGGGTACCCTCATTGCTGGAGCCCAACTTCTGGGTGGTAGATGAGAACATTAAAGGGGCTGTGGAAATAAAGAGAAAACAACCATTTTTCTTAGTAGTGACCTGTGCTATCTTGATTTTTGGATATTTGATAAACAGCTCAGCGGCATAAGCGCCTGCCTTGCAAGCAGGCAGTCGTGAGTTCGATCCCCAGTACCGATAAAAAGGAAAAAAAAAAAAAAAAGAATGTTCCCCCAAAATTCTACAACAAATATCAACACTGTAGTAAGGACCAACCTCACAACCCCCACACTGCAGGCAGGCTGAGAGGCTGTCCTCCTCCATCACTAAGGCTTCCACTTGGAAGCCAGAAACTTTGTTAGCACACTGTCAGTAAAAGCAGGGCCCTCTCCTCTGGTTGCTGAAAACCAATGTCTGACCCAGCTTCGAGTTCCGAGTATACACTCAGCCACAGCAAGGTTTTGTAAGTGGCCTGCACATGCAGGTTCTCGGCTCAGAGGCCTCTTATTGCCGGCCATGTGCCACAGACCATTTCTTCCCGGGGTAAGGCAGTGATCTTCTAGGGCTTCCTCTCTGTACCCTTCCCAGAAAATGGCAAACACTTCTGATACCTACTTCCTTCTTAGCTCAATCAACCTATAAGCTTCAAAGGACCAGAAAGGTCTCCCTTACCCTAATACTAGTGTGCTATGCAAAGATATCTATAGCAAGCTGGGCTTTGCCACACACTTCCTTTTTAGAGCATGAACAAGGCAATGTACACACATTGTTTTCTGCTTCTGTACATTTTCCCCTCACAGGACCACTTCCCCAGGTCAGAGGGCTCACTGCACAGGTATGTTCAGAGAGCCATACACATCTGGAAACTACTTCAAGTTCTGATGTAGCTTTTCACCTCCATACTGTTTGGAAAGAAACCCTCAACCCCCACCCCATCCAAGGCATATAATTAACAAGGTTAGAGGGTACGTAGGAGTTTGGTAGAGGCACAAACGCCAAGCTAAAAAGGCCCCAAGCCATATGGAAAGGGAGGACTGGAAGCCTAGAAGCTTATCTGAAAAGCTGGAATTTCCTTTTGATCTCATATTCCCAGGAGTTGGCTCTGTATTACTCAAGCCCATCTCCATTTGTGGAGTACACCCCTCAGAGAAGAGAAGCCTCCTTTATCCTTCTCCTGGCTTTCTCCTCCCAGCCAGATTCCTCTTCAGTCTCTCTAGAGAAACTGTCATAAGCTATGTGGCAGAAATCATTCACCACTGTGAAGTTTCTGATGCCGGAAAAGGACTGAACTGTGTCTGAAGAACTTCCCACATTCCATGCATTCATAAGGCTTCTCACCAGTATGAATTCTGTAGTGCTCGCTCAGGTGTGCATATTTGCGGAAGGTTTTTGCACACTCACTACATTTGTACAGCTTCTCACCAGTGTGAGTCCTGCGATGCTCGGTAAGAGAAGAGCTGTGCGCAAAGGCTTTCCCACACTCCTTACACTCATAGGGCTTCTCTCCAGTGTGAATCCTCATGTGCTGCCTGAGACAGGTGTTCTGGTTGAAGCCCTTCCCACATTCACTGCATTTGTAGGGTTTTTCTCCTGTGTGACTTCTCTGGTGGCGAATGAGGCAGATACTCTGGATGAAGGCTTTGCCACATTCCATGCACTTGTAGGGTCTCTCCCCAGTGTGGATTCTCTGGTGCTTGGCAAGTGGGGTGCTCTGGGTAAAAGCTTTGCCACATTCCTTACATTTGTAAGGTTTTTCGCCAGTGTGAATTCGTTGGTGTTTAATGAGAGATGGACTCTGACAGAAGGCCTTGCCACACTCTTTACACTTGTAGGGCCTCTCTCCAGTATGAGTTCTCAGATGCTGGGACAGGTTTGCCTTTGTTTGGAAGGTTTTCCCACATTCATCACACTGATGAGGCTTTTCTCCGGTGTGAATTCTCTGATGCTGGGTAAGATTTGAATGCTTGCGAAAAGAAGAGCCACATTCACTGCATAAATAAGGCTTCTCTCCACGGTGAATTCTCTGGTGTTCAGTGAGATGTGAATAGTTGCAGAAGGAATTCCCACACTCAGTACATGAATAAGGTTTCTCCTCAGTGTGGATTCTGTGATGCTGAGTGAGAAAGGAGCGACATCGAAATGTTTTCCTATGCTGCTTGCACTGGTATTGTTTCACACCAGTGTGAATACTCTGATGCTGAACAAGAAATGAACTTCGACTGAATGCTCTCCCGCACTCTGCGCATGCATAGGGCCTCTCTGTGGTGTGAGTCCTCTGGTGCTGGGTGAGGGATGAGCTCTGAGTAAAGCTCTGCCCACACTCATGACGTGACCATACTTTCGTCTGTGTGGAAAGAGCCACACGTTTGCTCTGGGGGGAAATCTCAGCAGCACATATGTTGTTTGCTTCCCACTGATGCAGGCTCTCTTCTGTGGACACCCTGAGACATGTCACAAGGCTTGGGGTCAAAACCAAGGTCTTCTCAATACTATACTCCTGACTGACCATTTCAGGGTGTATATCCTTGTGGAAGGTTATTCCTCCAAAACCTCCTTTCTGAAAAAGGCACAGGCCAGGACCCTCTTTGAGAGAATTTTCCTTTATGCTCTCGCAGCCATGGTTTCCTTCAAATGCAGAACCCTGTAATTCACCTTCTTGGTATCTCTTTGCTATGATCCATGGTGAATCATTTTCAGATACATCATGCTCTAGAGCAGGCTTGTTATTCCAACCTGAAAGAAACCAGTATAGCAAATCTTTCATGCAGGCCAGACTGGAGAACCTAACTACAGCACCCTAACTTGCACAGGTCTCAGTAATGGCAAGTGGGTAAGAGCCAACAAAAAGCAAGCATATCAAGTACTTCAGACTTGCAGAGTGGAGCTCTCGCCCCACTAGGAAAATAAATCACAGTGATGAGGAAGCTCCACAGAAACAGCAGGCACAGATAATTAGGAATGAGAAGATCACAGACAACAGCATTAAATGGAAACAAGACACCACCTAGGCTACAACCAGGGCAGAAGTGGTAAGGGCAACAGTTTGTATTCAGAGAGTAGAGAAGGGGAGAGTGACAAAGGGCAACTGCTGGGAGTAAGAAAGCTACAGGGAATACTGGGGAGAAGCTGGCCCCTGAAAGGCTACATGCACCTGTCCTTGATCTGTTACTAGCTTACAATCTCACCTTCTGAAGCCCTGAAAGCTGGCTGCTTCTCCCAGAGACAATCCCCTGCTCACTCACCCTGGTAAGTCTCTCTCTCATTCTCTCCATCTTCAGCTCCTTGCATTTTCAACAGCCACAGATCTTCACAATCCCTAATCATAGGGAGGGAAAGGTTGAGGGAATATCACTTTCCCAATACATGGAAAAAAGAGAAAGGTTAGCAAAATGATCTAATATTTTACACACTAACTCATGATAGCAGTGTGACTCTGTCAGCAAAAAATCCAGGGCTGATACACAATCCCTAAACTCACAAATTATCACTTTTCAGCTGGGTGCAAAATGGCAGGCTCACACGGACATGCTTTTCAATAATCAAGCAATTGGTAAGCCCAACTTTTACTTTAGAATAGAAACTAAAAGGGCTGGGGATTTAGCTCAGCGGCATAAGTGCCTGCCTTGCAAGCAGGCAGTCGTGAGTTCGATCCCTGGTACCGATAAATAGGAAAAAGTAAAAAAAAAAAAAAAAAAAAAAATTAAAATAGAATAGAAACTAAGTGCATGGGAACATTCAAGTCAATTAATGCAAAGTACAGTGCAACCCATTCTAATAGTTGTTATAATGAAAACAGCATGGGATTGGAAGACTGGTGCATTCACTTCTAGCTAGGGACCTTCGCTGTTTGAGACAAACTAGAGCTGTGCTAATTGCCCCTTCTTCTGGGTGCTGTGTCAGTTACACTGTTTTGCTCCAGGTGCAGCTCAATATAAGCACATATGGTGCAGCTGAAAACAAGTGTGCTTTAATACAGAAGTAACTTCTGACTTACAAACTTAGAAAAATAATACAGAGAATTTCTACATACCCTGCTTTTAAAATGTCAAACTCACAACTGTTCATCCCAAAATCTCTCTCTTTACAACCTAGAGGTGAGAAGCAGAACTAGCACACTAGTGCACAGAAGAGGAAAGACAGAGAGGTGCACTACCTGGGTTAAGAGCTCAGAAGCCAAGGAAAGGAAGCATCTGCTGAAACAGCAGGGGCCCTGAGTCCCTCTCATCCTGGCCTATGCTCGTTTGCTGCTGCTGCCTGGATCTTCCTTGAAGCACTTTCACAGGAGCAGGACCCAGGACCTATATCACCCACGGAGACTAAAGCGCAGGTGGAGCTGGAGTGTTAATGCTGCCAAAAACGAGGAAAGCCGGACAGGGCTCTTGACAGCCCGCAACCCACTTCCTAAATGGCCCAACACAGTGGGTGTATGGGGTGCCATGCAAGGTAGAGCAGAGGCAAGCTAATCTCGTCTATGAAAATGAGCCTCTCTGCAGAGGAAAAAACTAGAATGAGGCAGATTTTTTAAAAAGGGAATTATAGCCAAGTGTGAACAGAACATATGAGAGAATCAAGCTCAGCACTCTGCAGTAACGGGTCCTTGGCCAGACCTAGAGGGAAGCACTGGAAAGGAGACAGAGAGGCTGCCATCAGGTACACACGACCTGCACACCACGTGGCCACACAGGCTGGCACGATGAGATCTGCTGTTTTACAGAAGCCTCCCCTGCCCACAGCACGGTGTGTGTGAGGACCAAGGGAAGGAGACCCCCAGGCGGCGGTCACAGCGGCCCAGGAGGGGAGGAGCAAGTAAGGACAGAAGAAAGGGAGAACCCCAGGGTAATCGGCCAGTTGCTGGCTTGCCTGAGGTCCATGGCCTACAGTAAAGGGTGAACACTGGCCTGGGGAGGCAGAAGTTACATTTAGTTTAGGAAAGTCCAACCAGAAGACGTTTCTATCTAGAATAGAGCTAAGACGTTGGATAACAATATATTGAGTGCTTTATGTGTTTTTTCCCCAATGTTAGTGATCAAACTTGAGGGTCTGGATATACTAGACAAACTCTCTAACAGTGAACTGTATCCCAGATCCCTAGAGCTTTTGACATGAGTTCTTAAACCATGGGGATACATCATTTAAAATGTACTTACTCTCTGATCTAATAAATATAAATTATATAACTTTGTCATAGAAAAGTAGCTTTCCACTCGGGAGGCTGAGGCCAGCCTGAGCTATACAGTGGGCCTGTGTCCTTTAAAAGGGCTGGGGTTTAGCTTAGGAGCAGAGGGCCTGCCTGGGCCTGCTTGGCAAGGTTAAGGCCCTAGGTTTGATTTATAGTAAACCTCTCACCTCCCAAAAAAAAGGCAAAAAAAAAAAAAAAGTATTTTCACAGAGAAGACAAAAAAAATATTCTTTACTTACAAAAAATATTGCTGGCAGTGTTATTGTAAATAATTTTTCTATTGGTAGATACAGAAGCTGAGCAAATTATGCTTCTTGTGGAGGAGTTATGGAAACAAAAATGAACATATGGACTGTTTTATAAAATATTTGTGCTCTATATAAATAAGAAATTCTGGCAGTTAAATCTGCAAGTTCAATATAACATTTTTTTGTTAAAATCCACATGTGATAAGATCAAGAAGGAACAATCATTGCAGTGATACAGTGAATTATGACTTTCTTGTATTTCCTCATATATCTATATTTTGCATAACATTTTAAAAAACTAACTTAGAAATATATATTAGATTGGTTATCATGATAATCTCAGATATACCATTTTGGTAAATTTTTGCTTTAAAGGATGTCTTTTAATTATGTTTAAGTTTCCCATAAGAAAAAATAACTTCTGTAATCAGATTTAAAAATTGAAAAATATAATCAGAGCATAGAGATTTATGTATAAAGACCACACTATTACTATAATTGTAAAAATATGCAAATAACCAATGGTATATTAATGAGATGATTAAATCAATAAATATTATATTTAAAAAGTGATCACAAGTCATAATATATTAAAAGGATATAAGATGTTAATACCAAAAAATTATATCACAAAATATAGATTCAATAAATAGAAACTATTAATTCAACTATATATATATACACACACAGACATAACACACACACCTTTTTTTTTTTCTTTCTGGTACCAGGGATCGAACTCATGACCGCCCGCTTGCAAGGCAAGTGCTTATGCCGCTGAGCTAAATGCCCAGCCCCGACACACACCTTTTAAAAACACAGAAAACCCCCAAAGTTAACACTTATTTCCAGGTCAAATTGATCTACTTTGTCCCTTGTACTGTTCTATATAAGTATTATTTCTTTCAATAAGTTTCTTTCTTTTATACTCAGAAAATAGTTACCTCTAAAAAAACAATAGTAAGAGCTGGGGTTACAACTCAGTGGCCTGCCTAGCAAGCGTAAAGTTGTGAGTTTGATCTCCTGTACCAAAAAATAAATAACACACAAAAGAATAAGATCCAGATCTGGGCATGATGGCTCACATCTGTAATCCCAGCACTCAGGAGGCTGAGGCAAGAGGATCTTTTCAGGTTCAAGAGCAGCCTAGGCTACAAAGTGAGCTCAAGACCGGCCTGAACTGCAGAGCAAGACCGTGTCTCAGAGAAACGAAAAAAATAGTAAGATCCAATGAATACACCATGGTCTTCCCTTCTTAGTAAGGTGAAAGTGTACTGGCCTAGGAATCAGGCAAGACAGTCTCATCACATTGTGACTATGTTGATAAGCTTACCTGACATAATATCTGAAAAAGATAACAAATTGGACAAACTCCAGCAGTCTTTCCAGTTCTCACACTCTATGATGTGGGGAGAGGCTGAGCTGGAGGTCAGTAGACTCTGGAACTAGAGCAAACACAGTCCCAGTAACATAAAATGCCAGAGGCAGAACACATAAACAAACTGACTTCTAGCTTAGGTGTCTATGAAAAGGGCAAGCACACATTTTCTGTAAAGAGCCAGAAGTCCCCATCTTTTTTTGTACCAGGAATCAAATTCAGGACCTTGTGCTTGCCAGGCAGGCTCTATGCTACTGAGTCATACCCCTGACCCCAGAGAAGCCCATTTTACATTTCACAGGCCAAAAGGTCTTTCTGGTGGAGGTTTTCATGCGGTTGAAACCATTCATGCAATAAGATCACACTGCAATGAATGAATTTCTGAAGCCAGTCTTGGTTTATAATATACTCAGGATGTGCTACCAACCTGTACCTATTTTTCTGCAGCCTTGAGTAAGTCGGTAGCAATGTGGCCTTGGACAAGTTATCTACTCTCTCTGTACCTTGCTTCCTCACTTAAAAATTAGATATGCTACTGTGAAAATTATATAAATTAGCACAACCACTTCAGACACTGGCTGACATGCAGTAAGGGCTAAATACATGTGGTTTAAAAGTCATCACCTAAACCTGCTCATGCACACATCTTCCAGCACTTCTAGCTCACATACACGTATTTTGGCACACTACAAACCACTGGTGCTATACAAAGCCTTGCCTTGAATTACATTAAACGTTGGTGGATACTAGCGTTTCATTGAAAGGCATTAATGTCTGCATTTATTTATTTATTTATTTATTTATTTATTTATTTATGGTACCGGGGATCGAACTCATGACCTAACACCTGCCAGGCAGGTGCTTACGAGGCTGAGCTAGATCTCGGCCCAATGTCTGCATTTATAAGCTATTACCCAAGTGCTGTCAAGGCAGCTTTAGGCAGAAAACAAGGCAAGGACTACTACAGTCCAACTTCGGAGCGCACAGACGAGCTCTGTACCCTCCAAAACTATAACCTGGTCTCTACCTTTACCACTCGGGCGTTTTACTAGATGAATACGATCCCTCTATAAGTTTCTAAGCGTCAGGATAAGCTGGGGTTGAGTGGCTGCTATGGGGTCTAAGGATTCCGAGTTCAGGCGTTTGCACCGCGACACAGTACTAGCTTTGGACCACCCACTCTCCACTCAATCTTATCAGTTATTCAACCATTCCCTTTTCCATCTATGTTCCTACTATGCCACGAACGACGCTCGGGTCTGGGGCTGCAGCACAGAGGCTGCAAGCTAGGCGCGGCGGAGTGGCCAGCAGCACCCAAGTCACTGGCGACAGGGACAAGCAGAAATGTGGGGTACGAGGCCAGAAACGACTTCCCATATCAGCTTCCAGCCAGCCTCTCAGTCAGGCACCCCTGGCCTCCCCGGCCCCGCCTGCTCACCGTGAGTGGTGACTGACTCCCTCAGGCCCCTCTGACTGGTGGTGTCTGAGCTCTAACAGATGTGCAGAAGTCCACGACACAAGCTCTACTCTGGAACCAGAAGTCTGGTGGCCCTGCCGGTAGTGCGTCACGATTCTCACACCACCCTCGGTTGTCTCTCTAGGAAGCAGAAACAGCATCTCTATGGTGTTCTGCACGAAATTGAGTTCTTTCAAGTGTAACCTCCAAACCCAGCCTTTTTCTCTTAACTACAATCATCAAAGATAGACTAGGAAAAAAAAAAAAAAAAAGGTTGAACTAGAGCAAAAGAGTACAGGTAACTCTGCATGCATGTAGAATTTAGAAATCAGGGAAGCTGTGCAAAAAGCAACTTATATGAGATGAATGTAAAGTAGAAACTTCCATACAAACTAAAAACTGTTCCAAAAGGAAACACAATAAACTGAAATTTGCAGTGATCAATATACATAAGGTGGTAATAATTACCTCCATCCTATTTATTTGCAAGTTTTAGCCAAGTAAGGAAACAAAGCATAAAAGAATATGGTTATGCGGTATTATTTAAGAATGATCAGACGTGATGTCAGCCAATAGGTGAAAAAGTGGAGGATATGGCCAATATTTTACAAAATTAGAAACTGATAGTGTTTATCATTCTCAATAAAACTAAATTTGTAAATAATCCAATTCTCTTAATTATAAAACTCTTGTTCCTTGGGGCTGGGGATTTAGCTCAGCAGCATAAGCGCCTGTTTTGCAAGCCTGTGGTCGTGAGTTCGATCCCTGGTACCGGTAAATACAAAAAAACAAAAAATTCTTGTTCCTTGTATGGAAATTATGGAAATTGCCAAAATAATGCATTTTAATATCTATAATGACATTATGTAGAGGATTGGTTTTGAGTTTACACTCTAGACTCACCATCAGTATGGATGTGAACAAGTCTCTTAACCACTGACATTTCCTTACATTTCTTTGGAGATTCATCTGTGTACTTTCTCATAGTACACAGCACAGAATATGTGTAACACCACCAACATAGAGGATTGTGCACACCAAAACTGAGGTGGGTTTTTAGCCTTAAAAATTCAAATGAAACTGCAAACCATACCATGTTTCATAAATCCTCTACGTCTACTTCTCAACATGCCCTTGGCCACAGGGCTGTCAGAGGTTTCCTAGAGATGGGACTTGACATGAATTTTACAACAAACTCAAAATGCAAAGCAGGGTGTGGTGGACCACACCTGTCATCCCAGCACTTGGAAGGCTGAAGCCCAATCCTTGAGAGTTTCAGGCCAGCCTGGACTACAAAATGAGCTCAAGATCAACCTTAACTGCATAATAAGACCCTGTTTCAAAAGGACAAAAGACAGAGAGGGAGAAAGAGGGAGAGGTAGGAGGGGGAGGAGGGGGGAGGGAGATGGAAATGGAAATAAATTTAAAATAGGGAAATAGAGAGCTGGCTGGGAATCAGTGGTGAGCTATTTTAGGCACTGAGGGAAAGTTGGGACAAAGGTACTAGGAAAAGTAGCTTTGTGCCCCTAGGCCAGTAGTGGGGAGCTTATGGCACACGTGCCACAGAGGGCTGCCATCACCACACTAGGCTGCAGGCGTAGAGGTGATGCTGGAAAGACATTATGAAATGATCAGGGAATTGCAGTAAAGGGTCCTGACACTTTCCTACATCACATGAGTTTGCTCAGCACTCTGGGATCTAGCACATTTTCCCCAAAGACTATACACCCAATTTTCATGACAAATGACACCTCCTGCATATTTAAGCAGGATGGGCTGGAGGTTTAGCTCAGTGGCATAAGTGAGTGCCTTGGAAGCAGGCAGTCGTGAGTTCGATCCCCAGTATTGATAAAAAAGAAAAAGACAAAAAAAAAAAGATATTTAAGCAGGTGCATCAAGCTGAGATAATGCCTCTGATGAGAAGAGGAATTGTGAGAAGCAAGAATGAATGTCTGTGCCTGGGCAACACTTAAAGAGATACTGTAATCTCATTTTCTGAAAACGTCACAGGTAATTACATAGTGTGACCTTGTATGGGACTTCAGGATTTAGAAGATGCATGGCTTCTCTTCAGGGAGCCTGTATATGTCCCTGCAAAAAGTCACAAAGGTGCAGGGTACAATGTGCATTTCTCGGGGCGTGACAACCTCCAAATTGCTCAACAGGCTTAAGATGCAGGAAGGTCCCCACACTGGATGGAGGAGCTTGTGCGCACTGCCCACACACCTCTGGTGGAGCTGAGAGGGATTCATGGTTGAGTAGATCCATAATGCATGCCAGGGGCTGATAAAAGTCTTTCTCCTGTGCCTCAAGCACCACGCACCATTTCACGATCAGTTTTACCTCACTGTGCTCCCACTATCACAAATCTATTGGTCTAAATAGATTGCTTGGCTCTACTCTTAATGCACATCCTTAGGTGCAGCACAGAGCTTTTTGACAGTGACATCTGGTAACTCTCAGCACCTCTGGGCAGTATATCTTTGGAGTTCCAGCCAAGATAGGAGATGACTCAAAGCACAGGGAAACCCAAGCCAGTGTTAGCAACAAAGGAGTCACTCCTATTAGAAACAGCAAGATCTAGTTTTGAGTGCTATGACCCGCAATAGGCTTAGTTGAGGAATGAGCCCATCTGTCCCGTAATCTATTTGGCCAACATGATTGGGGCAGGGCTGGAGGTCCTCAATGTGGATACAGGTTTTTGGAATCCCAGATCCAAAGCTAAGCACTGGCAGGAACATAAAGTCGTAACACATACATGAAAGTGTGTTATATACAACTTCATTTGTGCACATAAATAAAACATGCATGGAATTCACTTTAATGTGAATATGTGGAGTCACAGAATCCAAACACTTACATGTTCGTCAGGGCACTGAGGGACATGAAGTCCACGAGGTTAGAAATGTCCTTCCTGTTCCACTGAACTTGGAACATTGTAAACACACAGCTCCCCCACATTTCTGTTCACATGCATACTTGGCCTGAAGCCCTACTACAGTGGCTCACACCTGGATTTGCACTGAAATCCTCCCAAAGCTTTAAAAAAAACCACTAAAACCTAGGGATGGACATTTTTTTAAAGAACACTAGAGGGTTCTAATATGTAACCAAGGTTGAAAACTACTACCATACTTCAGAGTGGGTCAGTGATTCCCAGCTTAGCTTTGCATCAGCATCACCTATAAATGAAAACACTCAGCCAATATATTACAATTATCCCTGTATGACTCAGTATTCATGTGAAGCCAAAACCTATGAAGGATCTTAATGATCCCAAACCCTTCAGGATAGACTGGGCTCCTGGTGGGTCCAGTGCACAGCGCTATCCCCAATCCAGACTTATTTTGCTATTCTGAGCTTCCTGATCCTGTGGAAGAAAAAGTCTGACTTGTTCCTAATGTGAGCAGACATGGGGTGTTATCCTTAAGTCCCTCAAGCCCCTAAACTGCAGGAAGGAAAAGGCATTAGCTTTCGGGGTCAGCAAGGGTGTAATTATTTAATATCTACCGTTGAGTCCTTTTGTTTATTATAGTGGAACTGGGGAATGAAGCTGCACGTTTTGGAAAGAATGTGGCAGGGGGAAAGACAAGCTGTCCTCTGTATCCTTCTGTTTGTGAAACTGCTTTGTAAAGTGGAAAACACTAAGTCTTGCAGAAATGAGACAATCAATGCAGGAGATCTCCGCACGAGAGCAGCCCAGATAGCTTATCACCAAGCTTCAGCATTTAGGACACGGCTCCTGCTTGCACAGACACTGGGAATGGAGAGAACAAGACAGACCCAAAAATCAGGAGACCCAATTCATCTCAGATTTGCTGCTTCTGTTCACACTGCCAAAGGAAATCCCCAGATCCATGCCCTCAGCTTCCTCACCTAAACATGAGACTACAGACTCTTCTCAGGCTCCCCACAGGCCTGGTTGGGGATTACAGTTTGAGCGAGCTGCAGGTCGTAGGTTTGGATAAGGCTCAGATATGTGTTACTTGGTCTTGCATTAGAGGACCACTCCCAAGTAACGGAGGAAACACCTCTGTGGTATTGTGCAGATGAAGTAAGCATCTCCTGGAAAGCAGGAGGTAATGCCAGGTATCCTTTCTATACATGAGTGTACACCATGGGAAAGTGCTATGTACACAGAAGGCAGATTACAGACCACCTAGTGCATGGCTTGAGAATTCATTCTCCCAGGAGTAAAGGCTCACTGTAGCAAAAATATCTTACCCTGGCCAGTTTCTTCATTCTTCTAAAGGCTCTCACATCCTAACACCCCTGAAGTATTCAAAAGACAAATTAAGACTTTAGGAATCCCACCTCACCTCCTTCCTCTCCCTTCCCTTCCCTTTGAGGTCCTCTCAGAATTAGAAGAGTTCCACCGTTTCTTCTATCACCACCTGGAATGTGAAAATGGAACCCACCCCGAGCCACTGGCTGAGTTGGAGCACAGTGAGAGGAGAGAAAACCTGGGCGCATCTCAGGCAAGCTTTATTCTTTGACGCTTCTTTCCTGGAGCGGTTAGGTGCATCCTACCCAAAAGGAATGTGATGGGTATTTGTGGAGAGAAGCCATTAGAGGGGGATGTCAATCTTAGCAAATCAGTGTAGCTGAAATGTAGTGACTCCATCAACCCTCAAACACTTGGCCAGGCAAACTGGGGACAGTCAGAACAAGCTTGCCAGGGGTCCCCAGAGCATTACAATCCCAAGGTTCCAGAGGTATAGAAAAGGGAAAAGGCAGTTTCCTATTTCTGTCCACTTAGGAGCAGCAAGCAGCAGGTGAACAGGTATTGTTTGATCCGCTTTGATTGGCTCCTTACAAGTTATGCAGCAGTGCAAGACCTGTAAATGCTCACAGGTGGGCTGCTGAACTGGCAACCCCAGTGGTTTGCTTCACTGATTATCGTGTAACCTGAAACACTAGATCGAGAGGTCCAGATCCCTAGAATCCAACCAGGCTGACAAATTGCCTGTTCCTCAAGCAATTACATTTTAAAAAACAAACTAACTAAACAAGACCGCCCCCCAAACAGGCTCCTCATCAGTTAGTTTTGTGTGACCTATTCCTAGGAAAGCCACCTTCCACCTCAGGAAACATGACTGCCTGGGGAA